TGCGTGTGCTAAGTGAGCGAACATCAAAGATCACACAACAGAAGTGCGCGCTCTCTCTCTCTCTCTCTCTCTCTCTCTCTCTCTCTCTCTCTCTCTCTCTCTCTCTCTCTCTCTCTCTCTCTCTCTCTCTCTCTCTCTCTCTCTCTCTCTCTCTCTCTCTCTCTCGCTCTCGCTCTCTCTCTCTCTCTCTCTCTACCGTTAAGTAACTTGTGCATTGTTTTAGTTACTTGTTTTTGACACATCCGGCCGAACTACAAGCTTTCCAGTGATGTCTGTGAGAAAGGCATATTCACTCGACAAGCTCGCGCATCTGCGCCGCCGCGCGCACAATCCACTCAGCGTGCTTTGCTTATCAGCTCGTGCACGTCAGCTATACAGGCGTTAATACTGAAAGTTTAACATTATATTCATTGCATACATATACTTCGTAGACATCCTTAATCTCTAATAACTCCATTCTGCTGTCGGTGTTTCATTGTCTGAATATGGCACTTATCACATGCTGTGTGGTATCGGCGTTTGGTATCGGGGCATTTTAACGAGTACGAGTACGAGTACAAGAGCTCAGTATCGGGCCCGATGCATCCCTACTTTTAATCCATTTAGTGAAATCATTGTTGCATTTTAGAGAAGCACAACTAAGAATTTACTCTTGCCAAATCTGCGCCACCTATAGTTAGTTTAAACGGAACTACCATCTGCTTACAAATACAACCTTTTCATAAACAGCTGTAAATGGTTTATTAAAATAAACTTTCAGCCAAAGCATTTCTACTCTGTATTTTTCCTCCACTAACCCTCTCTGATTTTCTTAAAATCTTTAAGTAATTCCATTCTCCCGTTGGCTTGTCTAACATGTGAAATTGTACCTGCTGGGAATAAATCTTTGGGGTTTTTAGCTCTGGTGTACAGCGGCAACGAGCGAAAGCCACCATGCCGAGTCCATCTTTTACTCAGCCCGCATGCATGCATGTCACTTCAGCCCAGCCACTCATAAAGCAACATGATGGATAAATGAATACAGAAAGAAATAAATAAAAGCCACACTTATTCTCTCCCGCACATCCTTTCCTCCGCCTCTCTGATGGATCTGTGAAATGATATAAGGAATAAGACTTAGAGGGAGAGCGAAAGAAGGGGCTGGGGTGGAGAGACAGATATGATTTATTAGGCTGATAAAAATTCAGCCTTTGTTATTCAGTCATTTTTCCATGTGCAGCTTATTAAGGAGTGCACCTGCCAGAGGAAGAGTTTGTGTGCGCCAATGGGTGTATGTCTAAATGTGTGTGTCCCGTGGAGTAGGAAGACTCAGACCTCACAGAGCCAGTTTAGATGACACCCTCTGTGTTCAGTGCTGCATTTTCCTGTCTAGCAATGGCTCCCTTTAGACCTGGCATTAATATCATGAGTTTTCAGTGATCAAATCACAATCGATAACACTTAACCACATTAAAAGCCAAGGGTAATTGCACCCAAGACACATTGTGATTGAATCACTGAAACCACAAAATATTTTTTAATCTGTCAAAATGATGGAAAGAATTTCTATCAATATTGTAAATAACATAACTTCTATGTAAACGCCATTATTTTGCAAATGCAAGTTATCCAGATACAAAACACGTTTATACTAAGTGTAAAAGTGCCAGATGATCGTGTATGTGTGTGTGTGTGTGTGTGTGTGTGAAATATGAACAGTATCTATCTCTAGAGTTTATGCAAACCAACTAATGACTTCGTTATAGCTCAAGCAGGCATCATTAGGTGATTAAGCTTTATTGATCAGTGAAGTGACATGTCAACCATTAATTCACTTCTGTGATTTGTCTGTTCCTTTGCAGCACCCTTATCTTCGTCATTGCAAAACCCGGCATCGCATAGGGTATTCAAAACACGCTACAAGATTGACACACGCAGAGCCCATACAGTCCACCACAACCCCGCTCTTTCCTACAGGGTCAAGAGAGTGCATTCTGCCAGGTAAGTGATGGGTGCTTTTCTGGTGGAGGTGGAAATGACCAGCACTTAATCCACTTCCTGTTTGTCTCCACCTCAACAAAGCTAATTTCAATGGCTTTATTCTATCATAAATTCTGCGTTTGCATGTGTGCGTGCATCCCGCTCACAATCTTAGCCCGGCACAACCAATTACCAGCCTGATTAAAACCTCTCTGTTGACATTCAGTGTCTTTACCAGTGTCTCAGTGCCTTATAAAACATTAAATAACGGCCTGGCCCTTAATAACGCCACATAGAACCATAACTAACTGCCTCATCACTGCTGATAATGACAGAGAGAAGGTGCCGCTCGTCATGGTAATCTATTACTGGAACCATAATATTACACCATAAAGATGTTCTACGGGATGGCCCACAGGGAAGTCACTGAGACACAAGCTTTTAATGGTGCCTTGAAATTGTTTTTTTATATGACAAAATTAAGTCTCAACTTTTAACTTGAGTGCTGTGTTTTTAGATCACTGTGTCATATGCCAGCCTGGTCTCATTGTTTATACGTAGGTATTAGTACGTAATGTTTTCAAGGAGAAAATGTACATTTTTCCACGTTTTTTTTTTTGTTGCTGAAATTTACAATTTGATGTGTTACAACATTTAAAATGTAAAATTTGCTACATATTTTTAGCTAAAAAAAACAAACTATTTATTAATCTTTTATATCATTAAGATATTTGTATCCATGCGTTTTTTATAATTTTATTGATAAGCGATTTAGATTTTTATACCGTCAGTATTGTATGTTTAAATGATGTAAACATGTCAGCATTGTATGTTTAGATGCTGTATTGTATGTTTCAGTGTCTGTGAAAACGTAAGTAAATGTACGTTTTGTAGAACCACATTTTACGTAAAATACATAAAAATTCTCATGAGATCACGTTGCATATGGAAGACTTGAGCTCAACGGTCAAAGACATATTCTAGCACATTTTTAGATGGATAAACAATCTAAAAGAAGTGCAGCCAATTGACAAAAAAAAAAAAAAAAAACGGTTTCTGTGTGAACGACCCCTAGTGAGTTCAGACTACACGATATTTTTGTCCATCACGATAGTCACTGTGTCAGATTACACGATTTTGACTCCTAAAATCTTGTCGTGTCATGGACAAGAAACATGTCAGACTACACGTTGCTTCCCGACCATTCATCGCGTGCCGTCTTTAATGACACAAGTTTCCTTTAAAGCAAAATTAAGAGAGGTTGGAAAGCTTCTAAATTGTAAATGCTTATAGAAAGACAGAGAGAAGGAAGAGGGGTCACTGCTGTGCCTGTATGGCATTAGCTTTAGTCTGATAGGAGGCCACTGAGAAATCCTATTCACTTTAGGGTGTAAATGAAGCACTCATGCGTATGGGTGTAAATTTTTTATTCCCCCTCTTATCTACAGAGTTAAAATGATCTTCATAAATCCCCCTGCTGTGTGGGCCTGGCTTAGCCATGTAGAAAAAAGAGAGTGTGGATTAAAGGTGTTATATGTTAAGAAGGGTGCCACATTAAACAAAATAACCTTCTCTTTTATCTCTCTTGCTCTCTTTTACTGGCTTTCTGGTCTTTTCTGCCTTAGTGAGGAATGCTTTACACTGCCTTGAGTGGATAGTGCTTAACAAAATCACTTCTTTTTGGTCCTTTCAAGCAGGTTCGGTGCATGATATCACTTTGAGTATCTGATTGGCTGCTTAAGCAGCTGTAACTTTGTGTTACTGGAGAGAGAGGAAGTTGGGGGAGCTGATCTATTTATGTCCATTGGTTTTAAATATATTAATGTAGTTATCCCTGTTCATATCATATGAGCTGATAATAGTTTCTTGAGGGTAATTTCATTATGTGTTTATCTTAGCCTTTTTTGCTACTTTTGCTCATTGTTCGCATTTAGGATGGGCATGTTTCCTTAGATATGATCAAACCATGAAAATATGTATATATTTTTACTTAAACATATGTTTTTGAATTTTACATAGCAAGGAAACATAATGCTATGCCTGATTTAGTAAAACTACTGGTATATGTAGTCATCACGTGGCGTTTGAGAACATTTTGGTCGACAGACATGTAACAGCTGCTCTTGAAATAGATGATTAACAGGTCTACAGGTCAGACTCTCATCTGAGCTCATTACTGAAGAGATGCTGACATTTTGACCTCAGTGGCCTGCACACAAGTATTCAACACTGTTTATGTATAGTTTGATTAGATTTGTGTGTGTGTGTGTGTGTGTGTGTGTGTGTGTGTAACTGAGCGTGTGTGTGTGTGTGTGTGTGTGTGTGTGTAACTGAGCTTCTAGCTCTTTTCATCTGTAATTTATTCTGTAATTAAATCTTTACACTGTCTTACATGACACAAATGTTTGTACAAATGTTTGTGTATTCTCTCTCTAAAAGGTAATTAAAAAATGCACTGTACAACTTTTATATGTATCCAGATTTTGCCCTAAAATCTCAAATATTATTTGTCACCAACTAAAATATTTGATATTATGCAACATAGTAATCTAAAGTGTTACTGATTTTTGCAAGTTTGTGTGCAGGTCAGTGATACTTGATTCATGTAATTTAGATTTGCTAGGGAAGTGCTTTCTGATTTTTAATGGATAAGCGAGTTTTGAATTTGTGTTTGTGGGGCTTCATTTGTGTAATGCAGATTTTGTGAGACGCGTGCTTGGCTTCAGACTGCCTTTGAGCTGTGGTGACTTACCGCCATTCATTTAGCTGCCTGCAATAAATATTGATTCATCAAGGGATTTTCAATTTGAACCTCTGACGCATTGTGAAATATTGCAAGAGATGGAGGGAAATGAGAAAGAGAGAAAGATAGCGTGGGGGGAGAGGAGATAAGGGAAGATTTTTAACGATCCATCTCTCTTTCATTCATTAATTTGTTGGTGATGCTTATTTTTAGAGTATTTTAGAGTATGGCCATCTGCCACATTCTTATTATATTTACACATTTGGCAGACATTACATTTAAGCTTTTGTCTGAAGCGACTTGTGGTGCATTGTGATATGCTTTTTACCAGTGCATGCACTTCCTGGGAATCGAACCTGTAATGTTGCCACTGTGCTATAAAGAACAGATGCACAACGTGCTTAAAAAAAGCCACAATGCCAAGAGTCTCTCCGTATTAGTTAGTTAGGAAACACACACAGATGGCCGATCACAGTCCACCACCCAAGAGCTCAAGCAGAAGAAGCGCGGAGCCCCTCTCCGTCTCACACTTGAGCAGACAGACGCGGGGCTCTTTAGCCCCTCACCCTTCCGTGCAGTGACCCGGCGTCCGGCGCAGCGAGCTGGAGAGGGGTGGGAGTGTGTAGTCAGCAGTGCGGCTGTGTCTGGTGATTGAGTGTTTGAGGGGACTGGGTGGGGGAGGAAAGGCCCTCGTAAATCCCCAGCAGCCACCAGAAAATAGATATAATCTCAACATTAACTACATTAATAGTAGCAGGAGTTGAATTAAGAAAGCCGTAAAGCATGGACGCCTGGGCATAAATTACACGAGTCCGTGCGCACACTCACACGTACACAGACACACACATACAAACTGCCTCCTCCCATTGCATGCTCTCCGTTTTGTTCTTTCTTTTCTAGATTTTCTCATTTATTACTGTGAATGTAGAGTTTGTCTTTTTGTTCTTGGACTTGGCTCGCCAGACCACCTCTTAAGGTCATCTCTTATTTCTCTTGATATTTTAAACATGAATATTAATTAATTTATATTATTAATATTGATATTAATAATGATTCATATAATATTATCAATATTCATATATTATTTAAATTAATAAAATGTGCATTAAAACAAAATATTTCTGATATTGATATTTCTTCTCATCATAAATAATCATTTTGTTATTATATTAACATTTTTATATTAATAATGATTCTAATAATATTATCAATATCAGTATAATTAATTCATACTGTATTATTGAAATAGTTTATTAAAATGTATGTTAAAATACTTAATAAAAACTTTTTTAATTATACTGAATTAATGTATTGTATGTATGTATGTAATGTAATGTATCACCCAGGCTGCATTCATTTGAGCAAAACAAGAAAAAGAAAAAAAATGGAATGTAAAACAGAAATATTGTGAAATATTATCAAAATTTTAAATAACAGTTTTCTATTTTAATTATTTTTAAATAATATTTAATAATCCATATAATAATATTCAAACCAATTAAAATGTACATTAAAATAAAATACTTGTGATAATATCTCTTGATCACAGTTTTTAATATTATATTATTTTATTAGCATTAATATTGTTGATAATAATGATTCATATAATATTAGCAATATCAACATTAATTCATATCACATTATTGAAGTTAATTAATAAATGCACATTCAAATACTTGATTAATACTTGATTAGTTAAACTCAATTAATTTGTTGCTACTATATACAGCAATATATCCATTTTTTTATTTTTAAATAATAATACACAGAAACTGAGCAATAGACTTTTAATCAAAGCAGCCATAATCATAATATTGATGATTTTTTCATGCTAGCATTCATTTTAGGACACACATTCATACATTTACTGTACTGTGTATGAAGCCAGACTTCTTGCTGCTGTTTCCTTGAACTCTAACCCTGTTCATGTCGGAGAAACAACAAAAAACAATCATAATCTTCACCTTTTATTTTCTTTGGTCGACGCACTCTCACACGTGCGGTCATGCACTCTCTCAGTGTGGGTGGAGCGGCCCGCGTGACCCTCATCAGGTTTAGTGCTCTGGTATTGATCAGCACAGGATATGCTGCAGCACTGCTCTCCTCTCCTCTCCTCTTCTTCACCACCTCTCCATTCATGTCATCCACCCATCCTGGGAGAGAAGGGAGGGGAGCACAAGGGAGAACAGGAGGAACAAGAGAGGTGAATTGAGAATGCTGAAGGACAAGGTAGAGCAATAGAGCTTAAGAGTTCAGGTATTAACACTCAGAAATGTTT